GCTCTGATTTCAGTGATTTCTGATATTAGGCGTTGCCTTGACGGGTCATTTCCTTGATTAAACCCGTGTAAACTGAGCAAGGTGTGGATGCCTATCTCTTGTCGCTTGCTGCATCTCGAGTGGATTTCCACTACATTTTGGTCATAGTACCGAATTGTCACAGCCATGATTGTCCGTCATCCTAGTTGCGTGAACAACAGGCCCCAAAAATTGTACTCATTTCTTCGAGCAGACTTTATTTACTGAGAACGCATTCGCTTGATTTTCAAAATTTCTCCCTTTTTTTTCCTCGCGATCCTTTTTTCTCTGGTTAACAATGGACCGCTGATTCAGGCGTCTCTTTTTTCTGGTATTTTTGTATCCTAGCTTTCCCAGAGTTTGCTTAGACACTAGGCCGAGTTATCACTAACTATGCCTTTCACCAATCTCCTGTTCATTAGATTTTTCGCCAAAGATGTCATTGGCTTACTTAATCTTCCGTTTCCTTATGTTTTCACCATATGAAGTGATTCTTTCAGTTGCCTTCCGATTGATCTCATGTCCTATCTCGGCAGTGTATTCCGCTAATTCTGATCTTTCACTATCCAGCCTTTGATGTCTCCTGATTCGTATGCTGATTTTTCTCCATTTTTCACCAAAATATTTCCGTCTTCAGGCGCCACATGATATACTGTAACCTCTCGAACAGTCCAACTTGTCTTTCCTTTCATGTCACGTAGGCAGATTTGTGAATAGTGTTGTTTTTTCCTCCAATGCCACTCTAATATTACATTTCCTTAATATTAGCCGTAGTTTTTTTTAGTTCTCTGGAAGGTAGGCATATCCACTTTTGTGAATCCTTCTCCGTCCATACTGTTCTTTCGTAGTCCCCGTTCTGCCATCGGCTTTTCATGGCCCGTATTTTTCTTCTTATTACTTCGATTGGTTAACCGTTACCGAGGTATATCCGAGTCAATTTTTTCCAGAATTTCACAAACGTTAATCATAGGCTTTTTATGATCATGCTCCTCATTGTTCCTATCTTTTGCCTGTAGTTGTGATGAAAATAGAAGTTTAGTATTATCCCTGCATATGACTTCTTTTTGAACAATTTACTCTTTAGCGTCTCATTAGAGCGAATCACTTCAGCATTCTGGAAAGGTAATCGTTCACCCTCATCTACTTCCATCGTAAATTTGATTTTTTAAATCAATCTGGTCTAAAACTTCAGAAAATCTTTTAATTTTTCTCTTCCGTGTGATCAAAGTGCGAAGTAATCATTTAGGTACCACATAAGCACTTCTGATTGTAGCAACGACATGTTGAAGTTCTCTTCTAATTTGTTCATATATACGTTTGCCAAAAGGGACGAGAGCGGCGATCTTATGGGAACTGCAAATATATGTTCATAAATGGTCCAATTGATTGTAAAATAGGTTGCCTTTATTGTCAAGTTGATTAGTCGTGTT